CATTGCTTTTCTAGCAGACCCTTTTGTGGGACCATAAGCTCCCCCCAGCTTGGCAGGAGACCCCATGCTGGAACGTGGTCCTCCCTTGGCACGCTCCTCGGCTCCTCCGGACCGGCAGGATGCTGGGCCAGGCGGGTCGCCGGGCAGACCCAGGGTGTGACAGTCCTGGCTTTCCTGTTGTTCACATTGGCACAGCATCACTGCGCCTTCCTTGGCAAAGGCGCTGAGCCCCGGGCCTGGGAGATGATGGTAGGGGGGGATGCAGGTGGAGACGGCGTGGTCAGACCATGGGCAATGCGCTTCCCGTCTCGTGGCGTGGATGGGAAGGTGGTATTAGCTAATTCCGCTCATTCCAAGAGCCAGGGCTTAGGGAAGAGGGTTGGCTTCTACACTCCGGGAGAGATAGGGGCCTGATCCTGCTCTGCTTGCTGTGGCTTGGGATCGGTGGAACGATGAGCTGTGTTCGCTGGCAGGCGGAGCGTTGGCATGTTGCTGCTTTCTGTTGCAGGTGGGGAAGCAGCAGTAGCTCACGATGGCCCTGGCAGACAACGCGGGCTGTGCCAAACTCAGCGAGGACTTCCCTTTCCCTGAGATCATCGAACTCAACGTCGGCGGACAAGTCTACATCACCCGCCACCCCACCCTGGTCAGCGTGCCCGGCTCGCTCCTCTGGGAGATGTTCACCCAAAAGAACATCCGCTCACTGGCCCGTGACAGCAAGGGACGCTTCTTCGTGGACCGGGATGGCTTCCTCTTCCGCTACATCTTGGATTACATGAGGGACCAGCAGCTGGTGCTGCCTGACCACTTCCCGGAGAGGAGCCGCCTGCGCCGAGAGGCCGAGTACTTCATGCTGCCGGAGCTGGTGAAGATGCTGGCCCCCAAGCTCAGCAAGCAGAACTCGCTGGGAGATGACCCATGCCAAAGCGACCCAGAGGAGCTCTCCCCCAATGCCGATGCCACCCGCAACCTGCCCTCTGCCGGTGCCACCCTCCCCAGCGCCATGGCTGGTGCCCCCGGAGGTGCCGTCACCGCCGGTGTGGGTGCTGCCGGCACTGATGTCCGCAGGGCAGGTTTCATCACCATCGGCTACCGGGGCTCCTACACCCTGGGCAGGGACAGCCAGACGGATGCCAAGTTCCGCAGGGTGGCACGGATCATGGTCTGCGGCAAGACGTCGTTGGCCAAGGAGGTCTTTGGGGATACCTTGAATGAGAGCAGGGACCCGGACAGGCCCCCGGAGAGGTACACCTCCAGGTACTACCTCAAATTCACCTTCCTGGAGCAAGCCTTTGACAAACTGGCCGATGCTGGCTTCCACATGGTGGCTTGCAACTCCACGGGCACCTGTGCCTTCGCCCACGACCAGACAGACGACAGAATCTGGACCTCTTACACCGAATATGTTTTCTATCGTGAGTGACACCAAAAAAAACCAAAACCCACCCCACAAACCAGACACCAATTTTCCCTTTCCTGTCCTGGCTCTTGCCTAGAAGGTAGATATCCAACCCTTGAATCCCAGCGTCCCCTCTTTGCCTCCTTTTGAGTTTGGTTTTGGGGTTTTTTTTCCCCCTCCTTCCTCCACGTTGAACCTGTTCAGCTCTTCCTTGTAGCAGCTACTGACCACCAACCTCCTGCCCTCTCTGCGACTCCTGCAGTAGCCGCCTGTAGCTCCCAGCCCTCCCGGGATGCGTGGACTTGGACACTGTCGTATTTTGGGTGGGAGGTGGGGGGGGGGATACACCGGACTGTGCGCTGGGCTGGGAATCCAGCTGCAGGATGAGTTTGTCCGTGTTGGACACCGGACTCGGCTCTTGTGCCCTGTACGCCGTGTAGTTCCCTGGGAACAGGCTGCATAGACTGTGTGTGATCTGATGAGGGTTCGGGTGAGAAACTGTTGATTTAAGGACATGGAGAAAGGTGGGAAGCCAGAAGGAGGGAGGGCTGGGGGGGAAGGTGAAGCCTCACAGCATGGATCTATTGCCATTAGCCCGCGTAAGCAGCTTAGTGTTTAGACTGTTGGTGCTTGGGAAGGGGAGATAACGATGCACCCTGTGTCT